AGCTTAGGAAGAGAAACCCAGAGAAGGAAAGGAAGGAACCAATGCGATATGGAGAATTTGTAGAATAAAAAGGGGTTGAAAACTTAACCAAATTTGTTACTTTTCATTTTCCCCAGATCATGGATCTCGTTGACCTGTAGGATGTCATCTCCGACCGTAGGATATTTCAATGCGACACCTGCGGTCTGAAGTTTGGCAAGCGGTCAAACGATGACCGCCATGTGACGACCCATCTCAAATACCGGGAACGTTTTCAGTGTAGACGGTGCCCGCAATGGTATTGGCGAAAATACCACTTAAGACGTCACTACCGCCAAGCACACCCCCGTGTCGAAGAGGAGACCCTCGGCGTCAACGCCATCATTCAACGAGAGGGAGAGATCACCATTGCAACTCCTCCAGCCAGCCCTTCTATACTGATCTCCACAAGCCCACCCCCAGAAGATGGCACCGTAGAAATCCCCGATACTGCCCTAGACGCCTCCCCAACCCCCCTTAACGTAACCGAAGAGGAGGCTACTAAAGCCGCAATATCCCTGATGGCCTCGGATGTGGAGGACCAGTTGCAGCAGTTGGAGGCATGTACCTCTCCGAGGAAGCAGCCAAGCCATGGCAAGCCCCACAATTTAAAGTCCATCCTACAACAGCCATCCCCCGCATTCCCCCATTATTCAGATGTGTCGGATGAGGAGGAGTTGGAACCACAACCTAAGAAGAGGTGCCAGTTGCAACCATCTCAGCTCCATAAAATGTTCCATGGAAGGGTCCGGGTGACGGAGATACACACCACATGGGAGTATGACAAGGCAGGCAACGTCACCAGGAAGGAGGTTACAGAAAGAGTGTATGAAGAGATGGAGAAGCCAGGCAAGGAAGAATAAATTAAATAAATAGATAAGTCCCTCGTTGTAGATATTATAATTGTATAAATAATAATTAGTGTTATATTATTGTGTTATGAGTTGAGGCCAAAACAATGTGTGTACAGGTGTAAGTGTTCTTATCTTAGACAAAAATGTTAAGAACATGATATTGTATTACTAGCTGTGGTCAAGTATATAGGCATGATAGGTTTTCACTATTTAGCCAAGTACTTTGAGTACTAGAATGTACTGGAATTTTAGTACTAAACACATGTACTGTATTTTTGAGCCTGCAATTTTTCTCTGTAATCTTAGCATTGCAGTTAGCCTAGATTTTATTTAAATTTGCTGGGGACAGCAAACGCTTAGGAGGAGGCTGTGTGACGAAAATGCCCCCAAATCTCACATTTCTCAAGTTTTTATTACTGTTAATCTTACCCCTTATCCTTCTAGAGACCAGGCATTTTCGTCTTGTAAATTCCTGTTGTCTTTTAAGGCATTATTTCCAAGCAGTTTTGAGTATTTTCCTGCCGAAATTGTGTGTGTGCACTCACGTGTTTGTTTACACATATCAGCTGTGCTATAAATAGCGTGATGGTAAAATCCAACATGGCTGCCATTTGAGCGGTGGTTAAAACGGTTGTGATTGGCTGAAAGTTGTAAAAAATTATGTCTGGCAGACTGAGACTTCTAAAAAGTTATTCAAATTTGTAGAAAGTTGAGATAAATATTTATCTAGCTTCTTTAGATGTAAAGTTGTCTAATTTGAAGCAACTGTGGAAATTAGGAAAGTTTTGATGACTTTTCTGTAAGCTATCGTCTGGTAAGTCAGTGACTGGCTCATGAATATTCATATATGTGACATCACTGCATTTTCTCAATGAACTTAGGGTTTGTTTATATTCATTCATACCCTGTGAAAGTGAGCAGTTTTGGGATTCTGTATAATTTATTCACAGTTTTAGAGCGGATTTACTGTTAGGAATGTCTTGAAGATTGATTTCAGCCATTTTGTGTGATATTTTGCTGTATAATTTTGGAGAAATTTAGGAGAAATTATCGCTATGTGAATTACGCTACTGTGACTTTTTACAAATGTGGGCGTGGCCTATTTACTAGCGCGTATTTTTGACTTTGCGCTGGGCGCGCAGCCCATAGGGTATAAATAGGGCAGATTTTTGGCTATTAAGGAATTTTGATTTGGATTTGGTGGATGTTGGTCGAAGTGTATTATTGTGCTGCTGATTTCTGATGCGATAAGTTGTGCTTTGGGGAGCAAGTTAGTCTAAACGAAGTGGATGTAAGTGACCTAAATACTGGGGAGCCAAGCCACATTGATTTGCTTCTTCACTTGAATAGTGGGGAGCCAGGATAAATTATTTAATCGATTTATCTGGACCACTGCATCACTGAATTGTGTGGTGGGGAGCACTGCATCACTTTGTGCATTGGGGAGCCAAGCTTAAGAATTTATTGGAGGCTCTGCATTGGTTTGGCAGTGGGGAGCAGGATTTATTAAAATACTTAAGATTTATCTGGACCATTGCATCATCGTTTGTGCATTGGGGAGCTCTGCATTCTTTTATGTATTGGGGAGCCAGGATAAGGAGAACTTAGGATAATTATTGCTGCCTCATTTATTTGCCTATTGGGGAGCAAGGATAATTTATAGATTTATTAGATCCCTGCATTGACTGTGCACTTGGGAGCTGCCAGTGCATCAACTTTGTGCTGGGGAGCTGTGTATCTGTGTATTGAGTTAGAGACAGACAGTAGAGGTATAGTAAGTTTTTATTAAGTTCTCTCCCAGAACTACTGAGTTCTTTAGAAGAGATTTAGCGGAAAGGCTGACGAGTCTGTTTTCCCGAGTGGTTTGAGAAAGGCCTGGGGCCTATTTAGTATTTTTGAGGAAGGTCTGGGACCTTACTAAATTCTTCTTGAAGGCAGACAGGTTTAAACGATACCTGGTCTTGCTTTGCAAGTTGAGTAGCCTAGACAGGTTTAAACAATACCTAGTCTAGGTTTTGCAAGTTGTGTAGACAGGTTTAAACGATACCTAGTCTTCGCTCTGGTCATATTCAAGTGCTAATTAATTCTGGATTGGAACTAAGCGAGGATTGGATGAAGAGATTTACTGGATTATTAGGAGATTCATTGGATTGTACAAGGAGGCTTTAATACTGGAGTGTAAATAAATATAGAGTGTAAATACCTGACCTTATTTTATTATTGTTGCGGATACAACAAGTTTCTTATAACTTGTTATTGTTCTTATTTATATTGTTGCAGAACTGAATTAAATAGTTGGAAACAGTTTTGTTCTGTACAACTTGATTCCTGTCAGAATTTATTTAAGCCCCTCCCCTTTTAAGGCGTCTGCTTCTCGGTAACTTCGTCATATATTGTGACCCGAACCCACGTCGGCCAACGCGAAGTGCTAAACCGGAGAGGCGAAACTCCGGAGGTTTAGGCCTGGACTATTTCGCCTGGTTGCAGCGCTATCGAGGATATTGAAGAGGTTTCCCAAATCCCCCCCTTTTTCCGACGACCCTATATTACCCCTTCCCCCGCCCCGTCCCCCGTGCCCCTTTTCGCCACACATGCTAAACTTGGATTTTTGGTAAGATTTCAGGATCGTGCACATATATTTCAGACAATTCCACCTGTGTTCAAAAGCATATTTCCCAGACTAACATCAATAATTGATTGTTTTGAGGTGTTCACACATGCTCCTAAGAACTTAAAAGCAAGGGCCCAATGCTGGAGCAACTACAAACATCACTGCACGGTAAAAGTCTTCATTTCATGCAGCCCATTAGGTCATATCAATTATCTTTCAAAAGTTTACGGAGGTAGGGCTTCAGATGATCAGATTGTGAGAAAGTCAGGTTTTATGAGTAGCAAGTATCACATGCCAGGGGATCAGGTGTTAGCAGATAGGGGCTTTACACTCCAAGATGAATTTGCTGCAGCTTGTAGTGCATCATTATTGTTGCCTGCATTCACCAAGTGGAAAAGCCAACTTACTGCACAAGAAGTGGAAACCTGTAGGAAAATATCTAGTGTCAGGATACACATAGAGCGCATCATTGGACTGTTGAAAAATAGATACAAAATACTGCAAGGTACACTTCCAATGCAAACCGTCAGCACATTTCATATGAAATAGAGGAGAAGTCTTTTGCCAGCGTTGATAAACTTGTTCGGGTCTGTGCAGCTCTTTTGAATCTCGGGGAGAGTATTGTGTTTAAGGAATCCTAAATCAGGAATTTTGATTCTACCAGGGGAATAAATAGAGGTACGTGTATGAGCCCAGTATTTAACAAGTACATGTATGTTTAAAAGCTGTTAGGGGCAATTATTAGTGGTGAAATTAATATCCTGATTTTAAAATTTGGTTCAAATTCCACTATTCTGTTTGGATTTTAAAAAGCGGATATTCGAAACCAACCTTGATAAAATGACGCCTTCGAGTGTTTGTGACGCAGGCTAAAAAAAAAAAGAAAAAATCTGGTACATTTCCCAATTTCTGTCATGTCTCCGATTGCGACCCCATATACCTAATAGTGGTCTCCTTGATTCATGAATAGCCTGTCAATTTGAATGGTAAGATGTTGACCCAGTTCCCGGCCATTTCTCACCATTACAGATCTGGAGGGCATTGCTGCATTTCACTCGTCTCTTTTGTTTGGCAGGAATGCGAGCTCAAAGGAACCATTATTCGGTTTGAAAAAAAAATTAGGATGACTGGATTTTGAAATTCTGATATCTCCCACCACTACACATAAAGTATTGTTAATTTACCAAGAACAGCTTCAATCGTCCTACACCCATGAACATTTTCTTCCTCTTGAATAACATTTGTGTGAAGTTATACTTCTGCATTTAAATGTACTTGGTTTCTATATTTAGTGCAATGTCCAAGTTTTAAAGAATAAATCTTTGGCCGGTATGCATTGAAACTTGTTTGATGTTCAGCATTTCCTTCATTCATTCTAAACTGGAGTACTTCTACTTTAAATCCACCAAGTACAAATTTGTTGTGGTGGGGGGGGGGGATGAAGGGGTATGACATCCCTTCGCAGTATTGGGTTTGTCGGAAAACACTGATCAGAAAACAATTCACAGATTGATACATGTAGTACAAAAGGACCAGTACTGCCCCTTTATTTCAGATTCAAATTCAGATTCAAAATGAACATACTGTGAAATATGCGGTATAGAGAGACTGTCATAATTAGCATTTGGGGAAATGATTGAAATGTTTACAAGAAACCTGGTATTGTGGCAATAGAGGGCGCTGTTGAAGCTATCGTAGAACCTTTTGGAGAAAATAAAATGATTAAAAAATGCGCGCTGACCAGAGACCAAATTTGTTTTGCCTAATAACTACTTTGTATCACTTTAAAAATGCTCAGATTTTCTTTTTTTTTGACAAATTAATAAGAAATAAAGTCAATGAAAAAAAAAAGTAGAACAAAAGTATGCACTGTTTTAAATCTGGCAAGGTTCCATCCGGAGATATTCCAAGCATCACTGTTTGACAGCACACTTGCAGTTCATTCTTCCTTCTTCTTTTGATTCATGCAGTTTGCACAGCTGCGCGACGGGCGGTTCGAACGCGCCGATGTACTTTTTCTTTCATATTTGCCCCCCCCCCCCAAATAATTCCTGGTTACGGGCCTGCCTGTGCCACAATTGCATTAAACATTGTGTTTATAGGTTGGAATGGAAATTTTTATGGAACTAATACCCTGCCATGCAGTCACAGTGAGCAGCAGTTACAACGCCCTTCCGATTGACAGCAACCCAGGGATGATGAGGCTCCTCCGTCACCCTCCACGATGGCTTCACGTCACACCTGAAGATGTAGTTTCCCCCAATCTTTTGATGGAAGATGGTCTGCACCCATCAAGAAAGGAAAAATTTATGTGCTTCTAGCGAACGATAGTTCGTCATAGCTTGATCAGTAAAGACTCCTAAAAAAATGAAAGAAAAAAAGTATTGTTGAGTCAATTGCTCTCATTATGACAAAAAACAGGTTTCATTCATGTTTTGGAAGATACGCCTAGTGCCCTGTTTCTTCACTACTCACGGAACAGCAATCTTTAACTTAAGCCATGACTTAAGCCACCATTTACAGAATTCATGCAATTTCCTCAAATTTCTCCGTGACCATGCATCAACTTTCCCACATGTATGTAGCTATCAACATTGTTTGGCTTTGTTTTTTTTTTTTTTTTTTTTTCATTTCATTTTATTTATTTATTCATTTTATTTTATTTATTTATTTGTTTATTTATTTATTTACTGTAATTTTTAATTGTATATTTAATGATATTTTGAATGGGGCCTAACTGCTTAATTTTATAAATATTTTATTTAATGAATTTTATCCTAAATGTATTAATCACTGTTACCCAATAGTTTAGAGAGCCCCTCGACAGAAACTTGTTTCTTTTGGGTAATCCTGTGGGAGCTTTTTGGGTGTTGTTTTCTGGGTTTTTTTTCTGTTATGTACGTTACTACTCAGTGTTATTAATGTAATTGTTTTGTATGGCCTAACGTTAGTTCACTGTTTGTATTATCCTGGAAAATGAAATAAATAAAAATAAAAGGTAAAACAAAAATAGTCCGGTGATTGAGCAACATTTACCGTAAAAAAGCTAGCATATTTTATTTTATAGTAAACGCAGGCCTACCTGGTGTCCTGATTAGGTAGTGGTATATGTCCGGGTATTCTATTTTAGGCCAGTCTCGATGGTCGTTGATCCACGAGTCGGCGGGGTACTGATATGGACATAATAAGTCAGAGCCAACTAGGTGCAATTTCTCACGATACCTCCCCAATGCCGGACCTGGCAATGATTCCATGTACTGATAGGACATGCTGCTGTAAAAGGTAATCAAAAAACGCCGAAATAAGCTGTAAATCAAGTACAATCCGTTTAGCTTTCGCTCAAAGAAGTCGGCAAACAACACACGTACGCAGCACGAGGTCAGGTCACAGGCGGCTCGAGATAATTATATTCAGGACTAGACTCGGACGATTTGTATTTTGTTCTTTTGTTTACTCTGTCGAGGTCACCAGGGGCGTGTTTTGGCGGTCATGACCAGAAGCATGTTTCTGACATTGTCCAAGGCTCAGCCAATGATCAGATTTGGTCGACAGTGACCAAAGCTGGTCATTTGCCGAATCATTGATGACGCCAGAAACATATGTCGAGGTCACCTGTGTCAATCATGCATGACACATGGACGGGCTTGCCCCTTCGCCAATATGCCGGCGCGTTACCAAGGACGATGTGACGAGTCACGCCGACCGCGAGAATAGTGATCTATCAACCATGGCGAACAATGATGTCCTAAACAGTCAAATTTAGCAGTGAGAAATTTGAAGCATATTTACTGATTAAGCCAGGCCTACTTAAAAAAAACACTGAAAATTTTTGGGAAGAGTTCACACGGACAACACTTAAAATTATTAGTGACCTACAAGCCATGGAATGCAATGACATGTCCTTAAAAGTCCAATTCAGCAGTGAGAAAATCGAAGCATCTACTTAGAAAACACTTAACTTTCAATTTTTCAGAGCACTTTCGTTCATCGTAAAAAATGCATAGGGTTGTTATGTTTTTATGCACGCCATGCCACAAACAACATGCACAGCCTGCCAAGTGGGATACCCCGTGTACGGAACTCTTTCATGTCTTTCCCCCAACGATTTCCTCAAATTATGTTAACCACCCAAAACAAAACATACATCTTCACACTTTTAGGTACACCCAAATGAAAATAGTGGACATTCAATATTGAACTAATCCGACAGACCAACAATTTCTATGAAGTTTTCTTTGCTTCAGTGTACACAAATCACACTTACGCTGTCTTGCTGAACGTGCTGAACAATGGCGCGATAAGATGAATCTGCGCTACACACCTGCATATCCCGCATACACTTGCGCAATCCATCGATCCTGTACATTATGTTGACACGATCTGAACGCGATCTGTCGATACTGCGACCAATCGACCGAGAGCAGAGCGCGATTAAAACATCGCGCATCCTCTTATTCGCCCATCACAAAAATATGGCTCCGCTCCATTCAAAGACATGACACTAATGAGGCGGAAACCAAACTTGTATTCCTACGTAATACGCATGCGCGCAACGCAGTGCTGCTCCAAGTGAGGGCGCTAATCATTATTCTGATGTAGTCAGGTTCACTATGTTAAGAAATATAGTTTCGTTCAAATTTTTTGGAGATTAGCAAACATATACATTTTTAGAATCTTCAGAGCATGGAGAATCGGAAAATCAATGTTGGCATTTGCGTAGACACCTGTATGGCGGCCATCTTGGATTTTCAAAATGGCCGCCATAAAATACATAATTTGCGCTGTTTTCGGCTTCTTGTCAACCAAAAAACATAATTTAAGAGGCTAATCCTTTGTTTTTTGGGTCAAGGACTCTACTAAAAGCCACACGATAGTGCTCCGGATTATAGAAAACACCAAAATTTCTTTATATTTGTGACATATCAGTGCTAATCCTATGTTTTCTGGTGCATATACGCCACAGAGTGGAACAATAATATTCCCCTTACATTTTTCGATCTACAAACTCTTTATGTTACAGGATACAAATTATATGGCCCCGCCCAAACAAAACTTTCTATTGCTGTGGCCAGAACAACAGAGGGCGACGTTGGGAGTGGTAATCCAGTGCACTTAATTAAATTTGCATTGTTTCAGTTGTTATGCCCAAAATTTACTCTCACTTTTCTATTCTCCCACAGGTATGTTCAATTTTTTTCTTACGGTCATGTTTTAATTTAACTGTCATAGATTAAGGATGGCTACTTGTTTTAACTTTATTGTTAAAGATGTTGAAGGATTGAATGGATGGAAAGTTATGTAAGTTTCAGATCTGTTGTTTCAAAGTAACATGCAAACTGTGCATACATTATTTAAATCTGCACAAACCACAAGTCACGAGTAAGATAATTCTGATTATATTGAATTCCATGCTTATTGTCACTTTATAGTAGGACACTGTCATTCTGTCCATTTGTAGATAAAGCTGTGGATATTATGCCTTACTGAGCTTTTGGGGAATCGCTTGATAAATTTGAGATATACATGTACATTTTACGTAAAGTTTTAAGAGTTGACATGATTGTTTTCTCAGAAGTGGACTGTTATGCAAACGTTACTAATTGGAATACTTGCAGAAAAAAGTTGCATATAAGCTGGTTACTTTGATTCATTACACATTCATTTACACTCGAATTCATTTAACTTGTTTTGGAAGTAATTAAAACAAAAAAACACCGGGCAATATATAAAGAAAGTTGTGTTTCTCAAGTGAGGCGTAGACTTATAATTACTTACCTGATAGGCCTAATGAAGCATTAATTTGTTTTGTTGATATTGCCTGCCATATTGAAACTTGTATCTTGGTGACTGGAAATGACTGTAGGTGTGGACTAAATGACTGTTCAAGTTGCTAGGACTAGAGGGCCAGACTAATAGGAATTTAAGTTTTCACTACTGTAAATGTTATGTATAAGTTATTGAGTAATGTTTTGCACTTATTACAATTTGCATTGTTTCATTTGACATGCCCAAATCAATTGCCCTCATTGTTGTTGTTTTTCATGTTTTATTCTGCGACAGCGAGCTAGTGCCCATACCCCCAGAATACTGCACCCTGGTTACTGTCATTCAATATGCCAATTCCATCATTCCAGGGACAAGGAATCCACCTGTAAGTATACCGTAGCTAGAGTCCTACTTATTCTAACGCGTCGTTCATTTTCATAAAGAAAATATCATTTCTTGGCAGCAGTTCAATTCATCTGACTAATGGTGGATGTTGTTCTGTGCCTGTAGGTCATTATGATGGATGAAAGCTCTTATGATGACAACTCCAATGAGCCTGTGGACTGCAAACTATGCATCTTCTGTCAGGAGTCTTACACAAGTAAAGGGGCAGTTGTTCTGAATCCAAGGACCGAATCCTACCAGAAACTACTTGATGTGGTGGCAGAGCGAGCCGGTGTACATGATGGAAAATATGTTGCAATTCAGAGACGTCTCCAAGGATGTACAAAAGAGATGCTGCTTGACAAGGAAACAATATGGCACCGAAGCTGCTATTCTTCTGCCACAAACCAGACAGAGTTACAGCGAGCCAGAGACCGCTTCGAACATTCCATGTGCTCAGGACGGTGTGCCATAAAAAAACGAGGCTATAAAAGATCCAGTTCAGAAATGGAAGCAGATACACCGGGAACATCAATGCCGTTCACAAGATCTGCGACAAAGCCTTTGTCAAAAGTCCAGTGTTTCTTTTGTCAATCAGATAACGGTCAAGCTCTCCTCACAGTTAGAACAGGGAACTCAGGGAAGGCACTCAGGCAAGCAGTAGAAATTTCCCAAGATCCAGTGTTGATGACAAGATTAAGCAATGCAATATCGCCTTGTGATGCCCATGCAATAGATGTCAGATATCATAAGCTGTGCTGGACACAAAATGTGTTCCATGTCCTCAGGGATCATACCAGTAAAAAAGCCAAATCATCGACGCCAGACCTGCCCTTGCAGATGTCATGCTTGATCGAGTTGATCAATCTTGTTGAAATAGAAACTCAAAACAAAGCATATCTCCCCATGGACGTCATAGAAAAAACATACATCTCCATGCTTGGGGGTAGCCTAGAGGCACAGAAGCACACGCCAATGCTGACAAGACAATGGCTGAAGGATAAGATTCTTCAGGATTTACCCAGTGTGAATTCCGTGAGGCAGAAAGACAGACGAAAGCCATCAGTTCATTACTGCCCTGAAGCCTGTGAAGAAAATATGGTCCACACGTCTATGGTACAAGACCATTTGAGTGAAATGGACAATACAAAGATGTTATACAAGGCAGCTAAACTAATACGCAGAAGTATTGCAAACTTCACTGACGAGAAGAAACAGTCAGACACAGTTACTGTAATGAGCACGGCAGAAGACGTTCCACCAGAGTTGTACAGCCTTATACGATGGATTTTGGTAGGACCTGAAGAAGAGTTGCAAACAGAGATGAGGCGCAGGACAGTTGACCAATCAGCACTGACATTAAGCCAGAACATCATGTATGCTTTCAAAACCAAAAGGCAAGTTCAGCACCAACCCAAGCAAGCAACAGAAACATTCAGGACACAACACACCCGAGAAAATCCACAGGTTCTGGGTTTGGCACTTACCATTCATCACGACACCAGGAACAAGAAACTAATGGACCTCCTTCATTCACAGAACTATTGTGTACCATACAGTCGGTCAATGCTCTTGGAAACAGCTATAGCTAATGCTGTAGTGGAAAACACACAGTGGTTCAATGGCCTGTACGTCCCACCCTTCCTCAAAAAAGGAACCTTTGTGTTCTTTGCGATTGACAATACAGACTTTGCTGAGGACACAGCTGATGGGAAAGGCACCACACATGGGACAATCACTACAGTGTATCAGAAGGCCAATGCTCCAGGAGAGGTCATCGCACCCAGTCTCAAGCTTAGCGAGGCAAAGAATCTGTCAGTTGCCCCATATCATGTACCCATCAAGCAATGTAGCAAACCAAAACCTGGACTAGTCAAGAGAGCACAAGAATTCAAGGTCGACACAAAAGGGGTTGCAGAGTCCTATAAACTGACCACCCTAGGCTGGCTAATAGCGTCTGCCCTGTCCAGAGACAAGGATAATGGAGAACATAGCAGTATCCCTGGTTGGGCTGGATTCAAGTCACTCGTGTCACCTGGAAAATCCTTGACCCAAGTTGGTGCACTACCGTTGCTGCCAGAAGTTGCACATGAGTGGTCTACAATGCTGACTGTGATTCTACAAGCATCCCAGTTGAAGAGCTTGGTCGTTGGCGAAGAACACCCAACAGTGATTACCTTCGACATGGCCTTATACGAGAAGGCGGTGCAGATAGTGGATTCAAGGGATGATCTGAAAAGAACAGTTCTTCCCAGGCTGGGTGAGCTTTACACTGCAATGGCTGCACTGAGGGCCCTTGGCACGTCTATTGAAAATTCTGGGATAGATGATGCGTGGATTGAGGCTGATGTATATGGCTCTGCCACAATACGACAGATCTTGAAGTGTGCCCACTACAAAAGAACTCTTCGTGCACATATACATACGTACATGACCCTGTATGAACTTCTCCTAGAGAAGTTCTTTGCAGAAAAGCCAAACCTCAAATCCATCTGCTCAAAGCCAGTGAATGAAGTCCAGGAAGCC